TGCGTGGGCCAAAATAGCCAGAAAAGTGGTGATGTGCTTGGGGATCACTTCCAAATCACACCATTCAAAAAAAAAAAAAAGCAGTACACAGCTAGGATGGACGATATTAAATGCAGAGAGGCTGGATGCTCCTGAGAAAGTGGGGCGGGACGAGTGGGGTACAAAGCTGTGATGCTAGAGAAACAGAATTCAGCAGCCTCCAGGACCAATGGGAGGGAATCTGGTGGCTGAAGTGTTCTTTACTCCAGGGTTAGAACACATCAATTTATTAATTTCACAAATCAGTGAAGTGGCCATGACAGCCCAGATCCAGCTCCATGGGCTGACAGAGTAGACTCTAGTTGTCCAATCCTCTGCTCTTTCCTATTTAAGACAAGGACTGTGCACTCCTAGCTGGATCCTAGCAGGGTGGGAGCCACTGAGCAGGGCCGGCCCTGTTTCTTGGCCAGACTCTCCTGCTCCTTGGCCCCCCTGACGCTCACATAATGGTCTCTGCGGTTACCAAGCTTGTGCTGCAGCATAAATCCTTAGCTTTTGTCTGTATTTAATCACACCCTGGGAAGTGCATTCCAAGTGCAGTTGTTTCTGGCCAGGAGTGCAGCTCCAAGGGCCCTGCTGCAGCCCACCCAAGACATACATAACAAGGGATTTCTAGCGCAGTGCTGGTCCTGTGTTAATAAATGACCAACAAAAGTATGAAAGCACACACACACACACACACTCTCTCTCTCTCTCTCTCTCTCTCTGGAGCCAGCAACCTTTGGTTCCCTGGGGACTGAATTCACACACCCTCTTCTTAACTGCTACCCTACCGTCCCTCCAGCTAACGCTATAGGCCCCTGGTCTGTCCCTGCCTGTCCCGGGCATCCAAGGTCATGGTGTGAGGGAAAGACCTGTGTTCAAGGGAGATGGCAGGGATGGAGCTGTGACAATTATGGAGAAGCCAGTCCCCTCTTTGGTCAAAGGCAAGTATTGTGAAAAGTCATTCTTCTAGAAAGGCACAGACATCAACTCAAGCCCCTAAGAGAGCAAGGCACAGTAAACTGTGCAATGAACTGAAGCACTAAAAAAGAAAAAGACATCAAATCATTTGTAACACAGCTTTAGGGCATGGTATGTAACATTTTCTACATTAAAAGGTTTTTGGTGATTTCTCTTTAAAGCAGACCCCAAAGCAGACAAGAGGGCATTGGTTAAATGGCACACTTGTGTGTTGATTGTGATTTCCATCTCCATGGAACTCAATCTGGCTCCGTCCCACTGGAAGCATTAACTGGATGATCCTTAGGACACAGTGGATCATCGGCATGTTTCCAGGAGAGCACAGAGCAGACGCATATACTCCCTGCACGACCAGCAGTCTGGGGCTCAACATCTGGAATCCTGGGATGTTATTTGGAGGTTAGCTGTGATTCTGACACTTTGGGAATCTGATGTGTCCAGGCTGGCCCTGTCCTTAGTGAGGGGAGGGGATGGAGACTGCCACTTGCCACTTCTGGATCTTGTAAGAGGAATGCAGGATGCTTTTGTCTACAGTTACCAGGAGGTTGCTCATGATGATATATAATCTTCGAGTTTCTAAAAAGTAGGGCTACATCACGGCAGCAACCTTATAACTTCCTTGGCTCCAGGGTGCTGGAGACATGAGGTTTGTAAATCTCAGAAGCAGTGCTGGAACACCTGGGAGGAGGGTGTAGTGACATGTGCAAGGAATGAAAGAAACGGGCAACAATGTCAGCCAGACACAGGTGGTGAGAAATGAATTAATAAATTAGAACACAAAATGGGAGATTCTTTGGAGTAAGAATGTTCTCAGAAGAGGATGATTATTTCTGCATATCACTCATCTCCAGGAGTCAGTCACTCAGCCAACCTTCTTCCTCACCCCCGGTCACCTAATCTCTAAGGAAACTTCTTCCAGGTTGGAGGCCACAGCAGTACCCAGGAGAATCAGCCTTTCTGTTCTGGGTCACAGGTTTCTAACCTAAGGCATACTTGCACTTCTGTTAAACTCAGAAAAAATTAATTGCAAATTACAGTTTTTCTTTTTTTTTAAAAGTAACTATAAAACTGAGACACAAAAAGATGCTCAACGTAATTAGTCATTAGGGAAATACAAACCAAATCCACAGTGAGATATGATTTCACACCCACAAGGATGGTTATAATTAAAAAGACGGACAATAGCAAGTGTGGACGAGGATGTAGAGAAACTGGAACCCTTGTGCTCTGCAGGTGGGAATGTAAAATGGTGCAGCCGTTTTGGAAAATAGTTTGGCAGTTCCTCAAAATGTTAAACATAGAGCTACCTACCATATGACTCAGAAATTCCATTCCTGTAAGTATATACCCAAGAACTTTGAAAATATATGCTCAAACAAAAACTTGTACATGAATGTTCAAAGCTGCATTATTCAAAATAGCCAAAAAGTAGAAAAAAATCAAATGTCCATCAACTGACGAATGGATAAACAAAATACGGTGTATCTGTACAATAGAATATTATTCCATACAAAAGAATGAAGTACTGACAAATGCTACAACATGGGTGAACTTTGAAAACATTATGCTAAATGAAAGAAGCCAGACACACAAGGCCACATATTGTATGAGTCCATTTATATTAAATGCCCAGCACAGGCAAATCCATAGAGACAGAAAACAGATTAGTGGTTGCCAGGAGGAGGGGGTTCTTTTCTGGGGTGATGAAAACATTCTGGAATAGATAGTGATGATGGCTGTACAACTTGTGAATATAATAAATAAAACCCAATGAACTGTACACTTAATAAAAAATAAACTAAAAAGAAGTACACTATAAACTCTTAGTTTTTTTTTTTTTTTGTCTTTTTGTCTTTTTTCGTGACCGGCAACGGATTGCAACCCTCAGTGTCGCACCTGTACCGGACCGGGACCGGCATCGGGATCGCAACCCTCGGTGTTGCCCCCGCTCCTCGCTCAGCCAGTGAGAGGCTGGTCCGCATGTGGGATCCAAACCCTCGGCGGGAGCGCCGCCATGCTTCGCAAGCGGTGCACTGTAGCAGTGCGCCACCGGGCCGGCCAAAACTCTTAGTTTTGAAAGTCTCTCTCTAACCGCATGTCTGCCCATCCATGCACCCTTCTAACTGTACCGAGGCACAGACAGACGTCTCGAATGAAGTTCACCCAATACCCATGACAGTTACTTGAAGGTGGAAGAATTTGAAAATCTTGGTTTTTGTCTGTATTACTTAAATTCTTTATAATTGACATATACTATTTTCCCCCAGAGTATCAATGATTTTCTTACAAGCAGAAAACAAAAGGTAGAAAAAAAACCAACCCCCAAATCCCAAGACAAAGATACATAAGGGAGATTCCCTGATGAGCACACATTAAATACCTTTCTAATCAGGCTTTTATTTTAGTTTGATTCCTCACAGAAGCCAGGATTCACCCGCCTCCTTCAAATATGCTGGAAATTGATAAAATCAGAAAGTGTCTCCATCTGCATCTGAACCCAGCTGTTGGCATCTTCTAGCATTTTCCATCTCTTACCACTGGAACTATCTCATTCACTGCACTAAGTTTTTCATTTTGTTTTGTTGTGGGGCAGGACAGGTAGAAAGGAAAAGGGAAGATTTTCCTCTTTCTTTTCAAATGCTACAATTCATCTGCTCATATATATATATATGTATGTATAGTTTTTTCCTGCCCTCAGGACATCTAATCTTTCTGTACCTGCTGAGCATTGTCATAAACATTTGTATTTCTCTGACATGCAGGCAACCAAAAGCCTTTCCTAAGTGTGGCGAGGTCCCTTGAGTTGACAGCCTCACTCAAGGTGGGTACACAGAGCCTTTATTATTTATTGTCTGCAGTTTCACAGCATAGAGCCTGCTATATGCTCCATCGTGCCTCATAATTAGCCAAATGTAGCCACTTTTCCAAAGCCTCACTTTGTAACCTGCCACTACTGCTAGTGCTTATAAATATTAAATGCAAAAGGCACCATTAAAATAACATTATGTTTCTGGCTGAAACACTGACAGCTGCGATCTCTAAAGTTGAGATGAGGCAGCTGCCTAAGTGTTCTTTATCTTTCTGGGTACTTATTTGTAAGAGTTTTCTGAATTCCAGGAATCTGTCACCCACCTAACACTGTTAGGTGGAGGAGGGGATGAGGCAGAAGGCCACCTTAGCTTATGCTAATTTTCTGGGCTTTCACACACTGAGTACCTGTGTAAAATTTTACCTACGGAGTGTGCAGCAGCCGGACCTCACCCTCCTTGCTGACAACTGAGTCTCAGAGGACAACCACATGACAAAAACAGAGGAGGCCCTGGGACTGGCTGGGAGGCTGCAGAGGATGGAAGGATGTGAGAAGACACCAGGCCAAGGCCGTGGTGGCCTTTAGCATGGTGGAAGCTGCACACAGTCAGCAGCTCCCATGAGCTGCAGCAGCCCTCTATGTGAACAGATGTTTGGGCGAGACATTCAAGCAAAAGCCAAACTAACTATTTCCCCCAGTTAGCCATGATATGAGGCAAATTGCCTGCATCACACATATTGGCTTTATATCCTTGCTAACTGAAATGTTTCTACCTTTCAGCATAAAAATATCACTACAAGCATTTAATACCTCAATTATGAAATCCACTTAGTGATGGCATTTGGGTTTCACAGAAAATGTTTATGGGAGAGTGGAGCAGTTGGAAGCTTTAGGAAGTGTGGACATACCTGTTTAGCCGCTGATGAAGAAATTGCTTTACTGTCCAGCAGGTCGAGAAGCTCAGCGAGTGCAGAGGGTGTGACAGGACTAGTGGCCCCCAAAATGAGAAAAAATAAATTGACACTTCACATTGTCAGGTATCCATTAATGGTTATTCAGAATGAGAACACTTGATCTTGTAGGTTTAAATAATTAGACCCATGCCCAGGGATGAAAGTATCAGGCCAACTGGACTGTAATTTATTTATTTATTTTGTATTTTAGGATGTAACGAACTTTTGTGACTAGTGCTGTTGTCTATTTTACCACCCAACAGTAACGGCCATTTATTTGGCAGAAGTTGTAGCAACAGACAACTGCTCAGTGCAATTAGTCAAAAAAAGGAGGTGGGCTGTAATTTATTTATTTATTTTGTATTTTAGGATGTAACGAACTTTTGTGACTAGTGCTGTTGTCTATTTTACCACCCAACAGTAACGGCCATTTGGCAGAAGTTGTAGCAACAGACAACTGCTCAGTGCAATTAGTCAAAAAAAGGAGGTGGCTGCAAATTTCGTGAACCATGACAAGAAAAGGAAAAAAAAAATCCAATAATTAAATATTTTCAACTGAAAGATCAGCTTAAAGATTATTTCAAACAAAAGAGCTAACAAAGCCACTCTTCTGAGTGTTTCTGTGCAAACGTAAATTCCTTTTCACTGTAAGAGATTTTCTGTAAGGGAGGACAATGACTACCAGCCATGTCGTCATCTGTCCTGGGCCCTCCGCATACTCTCTCCTCTTTTGCAGGCTCACAACAGCTTTCTGGACGTAGAAGGGCCCAGAATGCATTGTATATATACTTCTATGATGTGACTTATTTGCGGAGATCTCATATTATAAAAGGTCAGGGGGAATCCAAACACAGTAAAGTGTCATTAGTTCACATTTGAGGGTAGGGCTGGAGGTAAGTGCCTAGATTACTGAAAAGACAAGACTGAAGTATAGACTGTTTCTTTCAAAATATATGGTTTTGCTACTTCTAAATATATTAGTAACTAGGCTAATGAAATGCTGTCTATCTGAAGTCATTAGGGGAGTAGTTGACTTATAAATAGCATGACTTATAAATAGCACGTTAGTGTGTCTGTGTAAATGAAAGTTTCTGAAACACTTAATGCTGCTTGAAAACACCTTCTGTTAAGTCTTGGTTCCCATCACTCACTATTAATTTTTTTGGAAGCTCTTAGATAATAAAAAGGAAACTACAGCTTAGCCTCTATGCCAATTTCCATGAATTCTAAACCAATGGAATGCAAATTAACCAGGTATGACTTACTGTACTCTAATTCAAGTACAGTGAATTAGACAGACAGTGGTTAGTATCTAGCCTCCCTTATTAGAGTAGTCCATTGAAATCAGTTGGCATACTGAGGCAGCCCATTATCCTTAAAGTGTTTGTTTATAACAAAGCACGGATAAAAGATAATTCCAAATGAAAATTAGGTTAGGAGAGTGTCTAGAATTACTAAATTGATATTAAGAACATCTGTGAACCACCCTGATTAAACCTCAAAAAGGAAAGGGACAGAGGGCTACTAAATAATAAACTAATATCCAGCCTCCCACCTTTACTGACAAGTAATAAGGAATCAGGTTTTTTAAAAAAATGTGGATTGCTTGGATGTTCTGTGATCCTAGAAATTACAATGGCCAACTGTTTTCAAGTGTAGACTGTGTACAGAACCCATAATAAGCACTAAAGTTGAGCTGGATTTCTAGAGAATGCACAAGATAGGGTCCCTATGCCCATATAAGTTGATGGCTGTCTTGGTCCCTTTGGGCTGCTATAAGAGAATACCATCGACTGGGTAACTTATAAACAACGGAAATTTATTTCTCACAGTTCTGGAGGCGGGGAAGCCCAAGATCAAGGCACTGGCACATTCTGTGCCTCGTAAGGGCCTGTGTTCTCTGATGGCATCTTCTTGCTCCACAGTGGAAGAGGCAAGCTAGCTCTCTGGGTCTCTCTCATAAGGGCACTAATCCCATTTATGGAAGCTCTAATCACCTCCCTAAGGCCCCACCTCCTAATACTATCACCTTGGGGGTTAGACTATCAACATATGAATTTAGGGAAGACAGAAAATTCAGACCATAACAGTGATATAAAGGATGTGGAGGTGAGGAGATACAGGCAAAGAACACAAAATAACTAAAAAGACTTCACCTTAGAGAAATTCATCTAATGACCTTAATTCATTAGTTAGATCATAAATTTACACTATAAAATCTCTCCACTGACCTAACAGCACTTGGGATGTCTCGATCACCTTTTTGTTCCCACAATGCTTGACAGACAGTAGATCAATAATATTTGAGTCACGGGATTCCTCCCAGCAACAGGAATATCTGGTAGACTGCACATACTAATTCCAGATATGCCAGGACTAGACTTGAGTAAGACAATGACGAAGATCAGTACCTGTCACACTGACCCTGAAAGACCCCACTCATAAATTAAATAAATAAACCATCAGATTAGAAACATAATGGCAGCAGAAGCACAAGCTACTAATTTGCTGCTGTCAGACAATACCAGTTTCTGGACTGTGAACGTGTCTCCTCCAAAGAAGAATCTGACATCGCAGGCCAGACATCGCTCTGTGTGCTGGTCTCTCTACCCTCCACGTCCCTGAGACCAGCGCAGGAGAGGAAATATCTTTCAATCTGCCAACTTCATGCAATCCCTCAGAGAGCTCTTTGACGATACAACTCCATCTCTAGCTTGGATTTCGAGAACAGACACCCTGACACTTCTACGACCACGCTCTGCCTGTCACATACCTCTCCTCCTGCTATGAAATGTGCTGTCCATCTCAATCCCCAAGCTGATCTTAGGCCTAAAGTCCGCCTTCTCTGCTTCTGTTAAAATGGGACCCAAGAAGCTCCTGGGACCTGGTTCTTCAGGTGGCACTTGCTGCTCCCTAATCCTTTTGTTCATCTCCCTGACTTTCTAGTGCCCCTACCAGGTGGCCCAACCCAGGCAACTGTTCTCACCGGTCTCCTTCCCAGCTCCATCTCAGCACACACCCTCGCCTCCCACTTCATAAGAACATCAGCTGACACAAGGTCCAGAATTTTCTAGGGTGCCCTCCTCTCCCTTTTCCTCCTCTGCCTGATGGAGGAGGAGCAGGACGGCTCCACCCGTGCTCTTAACCCCGTCACTTTCCACTCCTATGAATCTCCGTCAATGCTTACCTCCTGTGTCCTGCGGCTTTAATCTCACACCTTCACAAATGCTCAGATCTTCCCTGTCTTGAAAATGCCTTCAGCTGATCTTGCAGTTACTTGCTTCTGCCCTGTTTCTTACCCTGTTTTTACCAATAAAGATCTAGCAACAGTGGTAACTATCTAGCCTCTGTGAGTACATGTCATTTGGATTCTACGCCCACCTCTACAGAAGCTCTTCTCTTAAAAACTATCCCCCTCCCGTGTTTGCCAAACGTCACTGCTTTCCCTCGTCCTGCTGCTCCCGGACTTCTGGGCAGCATCTGAGGCCCCGTGTGAAAAGCCTTCTCTCGGCTGTCCCCCGTCTGCTTTTTGCCCGCTCGCGCTGCGCGGCTCCGGTGCGCTTACCTCGGTTCTCCGCCTTTACGTCGGTCTGCAATGGGGCGCACATCTGATCCCAGGGCTGCTGCTGCGGCTTTGGGTTCCACTTCTCCCCACCCACGTAATCAGCTGCCTCCTCGGGGTCTCACTCTCACCCCAACAGTGCATTCCAAACCGCGGCGGCAGACTTGGAATATATTTGAGGCTTTGTGGGCCATACATGGTCTCTGTCACATACTCTTTGCTTTCTTATTTTTTTTATAAAGGGTAAAAATCTTTCTTATTCACAAGCCACAGGCCCACATACCATAGTCTGTCAAGCCTGTTCTAAACCAAACGTATCTTCCCCACAGACCAGCTCCTCTGCTGCTTCACACCACGCATGTTCTGTCTCAACAGCGCTTCTAGGTCCCTGGACACAGATCATCGTGTTGTCTCTGCTCTACTCATCACCTGCTCCCTGCACACCTAGTCCATTACTGCCAAATCCTAGTGATCCTTCAAAACACTAATCAGAACCATCCCTTCCTTGGTATTCCGAATACCGGCCTTTCTGACTTCACTATGACTCTGGTCACAATGGTCTCTTCTGTTGCCTGCAGCCTCATGTTCGGAGGCTATCCCACATATCACACTGCTGGCCTAATCTCCCTGTCACCCCCAGTCCCTTCTCGGCTCAAAAGCCTTCCCTGGTCTCCCAGTGCTCAGAAACTGCTGTTGGCCTGAAAGTTTGGGGCACTCAACTGGATTGGACAATCGCATTTGCCTGATTTTACCACAAAATACTTGGTAAAGGAATCTGCAATTTCCACTTTCTTAACTAAATCAAACCTATTAATAACTATTTTGAATGAGTTGTTAATCAAAAAAACAAAAAACAGAAAAACCTTTCAAAACAAAATACTCATTAAAAAGCCAAGTTCAACAAGAGCTTTTCTGGTTGGACCCTTTAAACATCAGTCTCCTGAAAAGTGTTTAAAGATGAACGCTAATTCACAAAATCGGGACCTGCCAATTTGATCTCTCAAGTGTCCCTCGCCTGGGTGTCATGAGGCTACCGCTGGTTTTGCAGCTACTGCCCTTCTAAGCTTTGGAAACATTAGCCTTAGTGGCTGAAGCTGTTCAATCATTAATGTTTACTCCACGGTTTTGCTGTTATGTCCAGTCCAGCAGAAAGTTCTGTGAACTGGGTAGGAACAGAGCTGCAACAGCTTGGTTTTGGCTCCTCAGTTCTTGTTCTACATAAGTTATAAGACAGAACTGTTGCTTAGCTTCCTCTCTCCTTGATTTTGGAGCCAAGTGTACTTTTATTTAGTATTGAGTACCCTTCGGGTTCTTAAAACTTTAGTGCTTATGAACCAGGGGCTCCAAGTTCACGCAACAGGCTAATTTATCACTCAGCTCCTTTAGAAGCTACCTACATGGTTGTTAAGCAAAGCCCTAATTTCACAGACCAACAAATAAAAGAACTGATCTGAAAGTCAAGAGATGTGGCTCCCGGTATTAGCAGTTGTGCCACTTGAGGTAAGTCACTTTATCTCTTAGGGCCTCAGACTTGCCAAATGAAGGAGCTGAACCAGAAAATATCTGAGGTGCCTTCTAAGAGTCAATATTCAGCAACTCCATGAATCATAACCAACAACATGGAAAACTGTAAGTTTAAAGCTAAGCGATTTATATTTCATCCAGAAGCTCAAACATTGCCTCTTCTTGGAACCTTCTGGCTAACATGAATCGCCCTCTTCTCTGCTCCTACTGTACTGTGTATAGTTTTAACACAGGGAGCATCCCATTCTGCCCTGAATTAAAACTCTGGTGCACTCACACGGTGCACACAGGTATGTACTGATATTCAACACAGTACCCCACAGATACGTACAATCAGTTATGTTTCAATAAACAATAAACAAAAAAAACCTAAAAAACAAAACTCTGATGCACAAGTCTAGTCCTCCCCAGGAGACTGAAGCACCTTGGGGGCTGGGACTGGGTCCTGTTCATCCCCACACACATACCGCAGAGTGGAGCTCTCCACCTGACCTGTTTATGGGGTTTATGGCTGAGTCCTCCATGACTTTCCAGACCCTCCACATACACAGTCAGCTGCACTTCTGGGCTGTTTTCCACCCTTTGCTCCTACTGGCTATGCCCTTCCCCATTCCAAAAGCATGCTGGCTCTCTGCCACTGCCATCCCTGGCTCCCCACAGGTGTCACCCAGCCTGCTCCCTCACCAAATCCTGTCCATCCTTTAAGGCTTTGGTAAAGTTGTATCTCCTCCATAAACTCTTCCACACGGCTCCCACCATCCCTGAATGGCCACAGTATTTTCAGTGTAAAGAGTAGAATTTCTCAATGTAGAGGTCAAACCCGGGAGGAGAGGGATGAAAGGCAAACAGACAACAGATGCCATGGTTCAGGAGACTGAGAGTGGCCACTGTTTTGGTACTTAATATACCAACATGGCAAAGAGAAGGAAACTAACGCTGAAGCCCACCGTGAGCCGGGCACTGGGCCTTTTCCTCTCACAGGCCCTCGGAGGCAGGCACTGTCATTTTCACTTCTGGTGAGGAAACTGGGGACCGGAGGGGGGAACTCATCCAAGGTTGGTGGTAGTTAGCAGCCAAGTGAGGAAGCAGAGTGACGCCACATGGCCACCCTAATACAGGGATAGACACATTGAGAGCAAGAGGCTGAACAAAAGTGGACACTGTATAGTTAACTTCTTTGAGCAAACAACCTTCTAGAGCCATGCATCAGTATGGGTCTGTCTTCACTCCACTTCTCCATGGCCAGGGGATGCTGCTGACTAATGACATACCCACCAGCTGGGGCTCCACCTTCCACCGGGACCTTGCCAGGGCCCTGTCATCTGCCCACATGCCCCTAAATAACTCTCTTCCTTACTCCCTGCATCTAAACCTACTGCTCCTTTCCTTCTTGAAACTTGCCTTTTCTTTGGCTTCTGTGACACCAACTCTCTCCTGGTTTTCCCTCTACATCTTGGTTTCCTTCTTCTCTGCCCATGCTTCTCAGTTAAAGGCTAGTGAGTCTCAGGTTCCTCCCTCAGCCAGCCTAGCAGGCTGGATCCTCCCTGCCAGTTCCCATCTGTCTGACACCTTCGAGTGCCATCTATAGGCCGCTAAGACCATGCTCCATTTACACTGCACTACGCGCCTGCATTCCCAAAAGTGTCGTGCCCAGACCCACCTCTGGACTTTCACACATGCTGTTCCCTTTGCTTGCAACACTTCTACCCTTTGGGCTTTGTCTGGCTAACCCTACTTATCCTTTGTGCAGGTCTTGGCTTAGCTGTTACCTTCTTCCCCTTCTTGGAGCACCTCTTTCACTGCTTTGCAATTGCCAGCTACTAGACTGCCAGCTCTTTGAGAGCAGGGCCTGCACCTGTCCTGTGGACTGTGCTTCCTCATGCTTAGCACATAGCAGAGTCCAAGTAAACATGTGCTGAATAATAAACAATTGAGAACTCTCAAATTCACATCCCCAGGTATCTCTTGTTGGCTGTAGATCCATAGATTTCGTCTACTGGTTAGCCCCATGAGGGGGATATCTGTCCTACAGGCAGCTAAACTCAGCATGTCCAAAATGGAATATGGCGACCACCTCTATCCCTTCCTTCCAAACTTATTCCTCTTGCTTTATCTCCTACTAGATTAAAAAGGACTAGCCTCCATTTCACCTTGTTGCCCAAGCAAGAAATCTCAAAGTCTTGCTAATGTGACTCAGTCTACCTCACTTCAGCCCAGCCACTGCCAGCTCAGCTCAAGCCTGAGTCGTTTCTCATCAGCACTCCTGCAAGAGGGTCCCAAATGGGCTTCCTGCCTCTAGTCTGTTCTTCGACTGTTTTAGGTACTGAATGGGTCTCCCCAAATTCTTATGATGAAGGTCCCAGCCCTCAATGTGATGGTTATTAGGAGGTGGAGCCTTTGGGAAGTAATTAGGTTTAGAAGAAGACATGAGGGTGGGGTCCCCATTAGGGATTAGTGCCCTTATCAGAAGAAACCGGAGGGCTTTCTATCCCTGACCTCCCCCCACTCCCAGCCTTTCCCACCTTCCATGTGAGGACACAGCAAGCCATCTACAAACCAAGAAGGGGAACCTCACCAAGAAATGAATCAGCTAGCATCTTGATCTTGGACTTCCCAGACTCCAGAACCATGGGAAATAAATATCTGTGGCTTACATCACCCAGTCTGTGGTATTTTGTTATAGCAGCCTGAGCTAAGACACGCTGCATTCCCCCAACATGAAACTGGCATGAGCTTATGATCTGCGGCTCACAAAGTCTTTCAGGTGGCCCCTGGTCGTCTCTGCAGCTCTGTCCCCACCTTTCCTGCCTGCCTGCTTGAACACCCTACAGTTTCTGGGTTTCCTGAGCCTACATGGCTGCTTATCTCCAAATGATGCACTGTTGCTTCCTTTGTATGAATGCCCCTGTCCCTCCCCTCACTTGGCAATCCCCACTAGTTCCTCAGGGCTTGGCTCAAGCATCCCTCCAGAGGAAAATGCTGGGTGATTCCCCTGGTCCCATTCCCCCTGTGCATGCCTCTAGCGTAACAGGATCACACTGAGATGACTGTCTGTCTTCTTATGGGTCTGAATCCTCCACAAGATTGTAAATGCCTTGTCTTATTCAGCTTCAAGCACCTAGCCCCTAGCACAAAGGACAGAGGGCACAGTCAGAAATCTGAACAAATAAATGAATTTTCAGATGGCATGGAGAACATTTTTAGAATGTTGAATTCATGGGGGATGTTTGTGTTTTGTCAGGAGCTCCTGAGAGAGAACAGAGAGAGCAAAAAACTGGACCTGTCCTATTTCAACTGCTTCTGGACAGAGTTCATCATAAAGGAAGAAAGAAATCCCAGACCTTACTCACCTCTCACTGATGGCAAGGTTCTGTTGCTTTAAATAGCCCAGAAAAATGTTGAGGACCCAACTAGTCACTTTTTTTGGCTCTGCCCTAGTTTCTTTTATCACATTTTGGAAGAACTCCAGTAGGCCAACTTCATTCTGTTAAAAAAAAAAAAAAAAAAAAAATATATATATATATATAAAGCCTTCCCCCCCAAAAGAAAGATCAGCATTCTGAAAGAAAATCTGAAACAGTCACCCTGTGCCTCCTCTGAGACAGCCATTTTTTCTTTGTTTTGCTAAACACTGAAATGTCACCATAAAATTCTGATCACTTTCAGTAAACGGCAAGTATTCTACTTCTGCTGCTGTCACTGTGCATTCATATAGCATTTTCTCAAAGGAACGAACACATTTCAGAGAGCCCTGACTTTGTAGAGCAGAGGACAGTGAAATTCACCATCCCCAAAACTTGCTTGGCCTCTCAGTGTCAGACTTGTGAATCCCACAGCCTTTATCCTTGAGCTGCAAACTCGGCCCGCCATGTTTGGCCCGAGCTGAATGCCCTTTCTCTTTCCAGGCTTGTCCTCTGTTGGAAGTCCTGTGATTGCCAGAAAAGAAGGTAAGAAATGAAGCAAATCAAGAAAGAAAGAACAGAATATCCTACCTTTGAAAAATGGAATATTCATCTTCAAGTCATCCCAACAGGTAGAAAGAAGTGGTTCTGAAATGTTTTCAATATGAGGGAGACCAGGGGAACATGTGATCACTGAGGCCACATGACCGGTGGAGGCCTCCTGAGTTGAGGTACAGCTGGCCCTGCCTCTCAGCTTGTTCCATGAGAACAGTCAGCTGGGCTGACTCAACAAGGAGACCTGCTTCATGATGACTTTCTTGTGGACTGCCAGCTTCACAAGTCAGGGCCACACTGCTGTTGTTCTCTGTAACTAGAGCTAGGTCAGTGCTGGGCCATGGAAGCTGCCTGGTAGGTATCAGCGGATGGAATCAGTGTCTCCCATCACCATGTGTGCTTGTTGTAAATCACATATGAGTGCTCATTCTTTATCATACCACGTTCATCTTTAAATACTGGAATTGCCACAATTATGTATATAAGTGACCCTGAGGCACTCATCAGGTTATACACTATGGCTACTGCCAGCTCAGATCAATTGGCAGAACCAAGACATTTAGATAAGTCCACCTCAGTATTTCAGTAAGAAAAGTAAAAACACGCTCCACTCACATGAGGGAGGCTGAAATTTCCAAAGGCAGAGGGTATACACTTAAGTAGCAGATTTCCCTTACCTGCTGAAATTCAAATCAAACCACACTTTCCTTGAAATATTCCTTTTTAAGTTCATTGTTCACACTGTAGCTAAGGCTCCTTTCAGAGATCCTTCATTAACCAAAAAAACTTTCTGGAAAAATAAGATACCAGGAAGAAGCAAGACAGTAACAAAAGTGCTCTCAAAGTTTAGCTTTTGTAGATGCTGGAATATATACACAGGCACACATTCCCCAAGGAGAAATTCCATAATGATAAAAAAAAATTACATGCCCTTTGTAACAGATAAATTCTCTGGTGACAAGCCTACGAAATAATCCCATAATCATCTCTCAAATCTCTTTTCAAGCCAATGCTATTATTCTGCTCATGCTAAACCAGGGCGAAGGTCACCTGCAGCCAAAGCTTGACTACAGATGAAGGCAAGTCCAGACCACATGAAGAGGAGGTTCTGCTTAACTTATGGAAATGTATTCAAACTCGCCACAATGGTACCCAAATCACTGGGGAAGGAGAAAACCACTACCTGGCCCAAATCAGATGGGCAGAATTCTCTTTATTCTAACCCAGACAGGCTGACCCACTGGTGAAATGAGCTGTCAGGAGGTGAACTCTTTGCTTTGCCAAGAAGAGGTTTTCTAAATCCACCTAGAAATATTACACTTGAACTCACAGGCTTGGCTGAGTTGCTGGGATGTGATGAATATCTATTCCTCTACCCTTGGGTGGTTTTTTTTATTGGATGGATAACACGGCAAGTCAGATTTCTGTTTGTCTTTTCATGTCAGTGCTGTGATGAAGCCTCTCTGAGCTGAAACTGTACTTCACTAGGGAATACATGGTTTCAGTCCACAATTTAAAGTGAACATGAAAATCTGCGATTGTGATGGGGTGAGCTACAGGGAGTGGAGCTGAAAGAGGCTGAACTGCTGCCACCCCGAGAATGATGGATCAATAAAATCGCACATGGTCTGCCTGCTCTGGCTCTTTGGAGTAGAAGCCCGCTTTTTAAGGGAAAACACACACACACATCCTAGTTTTCTAGTATTGTTGGTTTTTCTAGGAGATTGGCAAATGCTAATAAGCTTGGCACAAATCTCAGAAGTCTCTGGTGAACACGTCAGTGCAGCCATCTGGATTTCTCAGAAAAGCAGTGGGCCGGTAATTCCCTTACACAAAAATCATATTAAGAGCAACACAGAAAGGCCACAGCATTAGGTAATCTTTAACGTCCTCCTCAAAAGCAACAAGCGGGCATTCAACTCAGGACTAATCTATCCCACATACGAAAGAACTGAAACTTCAGCTATACACTGAGTCAACTCTTGGCTGAATTTTTGTGACTCTGTTCCTTCAGAGATGGCTAAAGCAGCAGGGACAACTGGTCCTGTCCTTTGTATAATACCCAACAGTCTTTACAGCTCTATGACCGGGAAGAATCTTTTTCACATTTTAATCAAATTTCCCAAAGCATTCAATTACATCCAGAGCCAATGCCAGATCAGCCTCTTAGACGCTAACAGGAACCCTTATTACTAACGGACTTGTCAGCTGATCTATGCTGGTGTGAGACAAGGCAGAGGGCCCGGCCCCCCTGCACTGCCTGCTCTAGGAAGGAACCTCCATCTCCCCTGTGTCGGCCACGGAAGCAATCTGCCCAGAGCTGTCTTTTGTATTCTAACCTTCAGAAATGACAAAATGTTGGGAGACCATCCAGATGGAATAGGATGAAGGCTGATTTCTCAACTGCAATCCTTGTTCTAAGTCACACAACCCATGAGTCTGATGATAAGCCAGAAATGAGGCTGGACTATATTTATAAGTAGAATGAAATATGATAGAGACAGCTGCCCAGTGGCAGACTCAGAGAAGAAAAAGCCCAGAAAATACAAGTTGAGGAACAGCTGGCTATGTGACAGGGCGTGTCCTGGCAGCTACAAGGGACCCTAGATTAGTGTTGGGATAGTCACAGGCTTGCAGGAGTATTTACTGAATACCTGCTGTGGGCAGCAGCGTGTAGCTGTTGCTGCTGTGGCTGCTGCTGCTGATAACAATAGTTATAACAGCAACAATTATAGGGGCCAGGCACTGTTCTAAGTGCTTTCTCTACATTAACTCCTTTAATTCCAACAACGGTCCTGTAAGCTAAGTTCTATCAGAACTCTCTTTTACAGTTGAAGACACTGAGGCATGAACTTGCTGGAGGTCACACAGCAAGACAGCAGTAGAGCTAGAATCAAACCTCTGCAGTCTGGGCTTTTAACCTCTGTGTGACACTGCCTTTGATGAAGGAAAGGTCATGGTCCCGTCTTCCTAGGGACTGAAACTCAGCACCTACCAGTGCCAGGCACAATGTAATGCAATTAGCTTATCAAAAGAAAGCTCTTTCCAGCCACTTCCATTATTATATTTGATAGCTGCCAGCTGTTCAAAGGTTCTTAACATATTAAAAATGTTGCAAGTGCCCTCAACAATGAACTTAAAAATTAGAAGGAGAAAATGGCAAGTTCACTTTCTGCCTTTGCCAATGTACACCCAGGCCATGTGGCACTCGGCTGTGGCATGACACACACCTGCTACCAGACGAGGGAAGAGAGTGGCACACCCACTGCCTGTGCCACACTGGGCTCCAGGGGCTGGGAGGGTGGCCAGAGCTCCCCTGTGCCTCTCTTCTGCAGCATACCCACAACCTCAGAGAAGTTGCTGTGAGCACACCTAGACTCAGAGACTGCACAATTCTGGAGGACCTTCTAACATAAGAAGACAAAGCCCAGCGAGTTCTGGTATTAAGCATACTATATTTTATTTTATTGCATCCTAATTCTCTAATATGGGAGAGTCAAGTGGCAAGCTTATGCCTAACTGGGCAGGTCATGCCTGTGATGAGAGCAGCTAACTGTATGGGAGGCCCTGCCTCTGCACACTCAACAACGGTGGTTTCAACTGGGCAAAGCGCTCACATGTCATAACACGCCATTCTGCAGACACACAAACTGGAATTGCATCCATCCTGTGTGGAAGGGGTGCTGAGCGTTTGGGCAGTGTAAGAGGCCCATCATCTGCATTTCAGTGGGAGCTCTGTTGTTCCGTTATTCCTGTAAATTTGGTCATTCTTACAAAATGATAAAAACAAAACTCAAACCCTACAACTGTGTAAAAAATGGCCCTGAAAACAATACCAAATGCTAGTGCTGGAGATGGAAATGAAGTCAAGATGCCCCAGAGAGTGATAGTCATAGGCCAGGAAGCAGAATGCTCAGTGGGCCCGTGGCTCAGGTCTGTGATGTGAATGAGCCCTCCCTGTGCTTTTCATGCAAACCAGAGGCAGTGAAAATCTTTCAGCAAGTGCTCCTGTGAGCAGAAAAATTACTCAACGAGAGAGGACCCCCCAGTGGGGAAACACAAAAGGGAGTTAATTGGTAGCGTAAGGCTGGTGTACAAAATGTGAATCTCCACTTGAGTATGTCGGGTAAAGCCAGAATAATCCTGAATCATCAGTGCCACTTGCAAGAATATGGGGATCTGTAGAAGATCTGAAATTGACCCACAAATACCAAGGGCATGAGCTCTAGTCTGTCCCAGGGAACACACAACTAGAAGTCTATGGTCCTACTTTGGTCCCCACAATTTCCACCCCTGGGTCATGTTCCCAGCAGGGTTTGATAGCCCCTCAAATCTGAGCAAAACTTTGGTCCCCAAAATTTAACTTGTGCTACGTTCCCAGCAAAGCCAAGGAATATACATATCTTGAGCTCAACTCAGTACACCAGTTCTGTTCAGGGAGTGTTTAGACTAATGTGAAAATGAGTTTGCATTCTCTGAGATGCATTAAATCCAGGACAGATGTTGAGGGAAACCAATTTGGGAATAA